CATTGGCTTTAAGAACCAAGAGCCACATTCTCATCATGATGAGGAATACAGAGGAACAAATCAGTGGAAGATTGTATTTCATAATCAGTAACATTTCTAAAGGCAAATGATTCTCCATCAAACAATGAAGGCTAAATATGTTTACTTTAAAAATATGAAAAAATGTTAATGTGTGTAAACCATAGATTATTTCTCAGACAGCTGCATTCTCCCTTCCCACTAAAAAAAGTGTACTCTCTGGAAAAAGCTTTTAAGGTGGCCTTGAGTGGTCTAATTAGGATATCCTCACCTTAAGAATGGGGTATAAAACTCTAGTATGATTTGGCATAATTCCCTGTGACTAAGATAAAAAGTACCAAAGGGGATATGGTCAGGAATGGGCCAAGGATGCTGCCAGGATATGTTGCTAGGCATGCTACAACTCTCCAGCCTACATCCTTTCTTACCTCCTTATTAGGAGATTTTACCTGTATGTCTAGGTCAAATTCTAGTACAGTAATCTCCCTCACTGCTGATCTTCCCCTCCACTTAGGGTTGCCCTACATGACCAGGAGGGTATGATGCCAATGTTCCTATTCACATGAAGTGGGTAATAGAACTAAATTATTTCTACACTAAAAGAAATTGCTAGTTTTACAGTAACTCTGTTTCATTAACAGTAGATGAAATTCTCTTCCTATAAGATGTTGAGAAGCTTCCAAACATTTAGAATTCAGTGATACAAATGCCAAAGTTTCCTAAAAATGGAATTTGATCTAAACATTTACTCCCCCAAGACTCCAAAATTTAAAAATGCACTAGAATTTTCACAATATTCTGATCTACAAGTATGTATAGGAGAGCTAGTGAGAACTTGAAAAGTCTTTGGCTTAAAAGGACCAAGGTCTCCCCACTGCATTCTGGGCCATCTCCAGCCATCCTGATGAATATCTGGCCACTGATCCCAGATACTCTGGAGGAGAAAATGAGGTTGATGACTTTGCACAGCCCTCCCTCGCTCAAATCAAAGTCAATTGCAAGTCATGTCATCATCTCCCTGATGTCATGATCCTCTTCGAGAACAAAGGACACACCAAAACCACAAATTCTATGCAATTATTGTTATTTTTTTTCTTTTGTAAAGTATGAGGTCATCAACTATATTCTGACTTTCTGATATTCAAATTCTATCATTCTAGGAGCAAAATATTGGCATCTCTGCCTGAATGCATGAGCTGGAAGATTTGGACAAATTTTGAAGACCTAAGTCTGTATCGCAGCACTATTATACACTATCTGCATAACCATGGGGCCACTGGGAGGCTCAGTAGATAGAGATTCAGTGGTCCTGAAATCAGGAAGACTGGTGTTCAATTTGGCCTCAGTTGTGAGACCCTGGACAAGCCACTACACCTCGGCCTCATTTCTTCAGCTGTAAAACAGTGACGAGTATTGTGCCTACCTCCCAAGCTTGCCACGAAGATCAAATGAGATAAGTATTTGTAAAGTGCTTACTTAGCACTGAGCCTGGTTTGTAGTAGGTTTAATAAAATGCTTGTTTCTTTCCATAGGCAGGTCACATCCTTTTGGGATCTCCCTTTTCTGCTCTGTAAAATAAAAGGGCTAGATTAAATGAGTGCTAAGGCCCCTGTGATCTTTACGGTCTCTGGCTTAAACCACGTCATTCCACGGATTCATTTTTCCTTGCTCCATAGCACATTTAATTCTTCAGTATTGAAACTTGCTCTGGCTCTGCCTTTATTTACCCTTCACTCAAATGAGCATTGTTTAAGTTCACAGGACAGTGTAGCAATGTGTTCATATCTAAGCATTTTTTATTGGCTGCATCCCATTCATAGTGGCCCCAGACATTTAAAAGCACAGCAACATCAAGACCATTACACAGTTTAACAGAGTCTGGTAAACTCTTTGAGGTTAAAGACCACGTCTTGTTTATGCTCTGGAAAGTTCTGCTAGTACCTAATAAACTCAATAAATATTGATGCTAAAAGATAGCTTGTAAACATAACTGTCCATGTCACCCTGCAGGCATAAAAATATACACTCAGACTCTAAGCCCTCAATGGAGTTTACAATGTAATTTAATTTGCTACATATACTACCTCGTACACTAGAGCAAGTAGACTGACAAATCATTGAATTTTAGAGCTGAATGGACCTCAGCGGCCATCTGGTGTCGCCCATACTATACCCAAAAGAAACCCCCAATATCACAGACCCAACAAGTGGTCACCCAACCTCTGCTTGACCACCCCTTAAGAGGAGGAACCAGGACAGCTAGGTGGTGCAGTGGATAAAGCACTGGCCCTGGAGTCAGGAGGACCTGAGTTCAAATCTGCCCTCAGATACTTACTAGCTATGTGACCCTGAACAAGTTACTTAACCCTGATTGCCTTTAAAAAAAAAAAAAAAGGAGGAACCTGCCCACTCTCGGTGACCCATTCTACTTTTGGATAGTTCTAATTGCTAGGAAGTGTTTCCTGACATCAAGCCAAAAATGTCCTCTTTGCAACCACTATCCATTGCTCCTGGTTCTGCCCTCAGGGACCAAATGGGATGTCTAGTCCCTTCTCCATATGGAAGGCTTTCAAATACATGAGGATGATTAAGCCTAAAGCTTTCTGTAGATGAAATTGTCAACTATCTACATAACCAGCACACATTACAATTAACTGATAGCTAACAGGTTCAGTTCATTGGTGAATAATCATTGAGCACATGGGATGTGTTGAACTAAGCCTATCTCCAATGGAAAAGGAATACCATGGTTTTAAAACATTTTATCTATTTTATACCAGGTCTTGGAAAGATAGATTAGTCACCTTAACATCATCCATTTAAAGAAAATGAATCTTTCAGGAAGATTCCTTACTTGCCATATCTTTCTGCTGAGGTTAATCAACCTTTTCAAATTTGTTACCAGCTCATAGGTAAGCTAGGGAATGTGCTGATATGAACCAAACTACAGAGGAAGGAACTAAATTCATTAGAAATAAGCAGCATTTTGCCATTATTAACACCATTTTTGTTTCAGGAAGAAAAATGAAGGACATTAGCTCTGAGAATTAAAAGCTTGGCCTTTAGCGATTCATTATTCATAAATAATATATCATGAATTATTCACCAATTTCATTTTAATAAAATAGGTAATAAAAGAATGAGGATAGCTGAAATGAACAGATGTTCCTGGAACTTGTATTTATTTGCTTCAAATTATACATTAAGCCTTTAAATTAATCTGGGCCTCCTTATGTATGGGAAGAGGAAGCCACCCTCAATATAATACTTAAAAGGCACCACAAAGGTTGTCTGCCAGATATCACCCATGTGCCACCCATGTTGCCTGGAATTTCCACATTAAAATTACTCCTTTGGGCTGAAGTATTCGGCTTCCAGAAAACCTCTATTAAAATTTCAAATCTGTTATCTAGAAAGAATAATGTTTCAAATCAGGAGTTTTTTGGTCCTGTGCAGGGAACTCTCCATTGAGAAAAATCCCTCCACCAAATTCTACTCCCCTCGTCCAATCCTTACCCCCCATTTTCCACCTTTTACTCTGAAAACCTTAATTAAATCAATACTACCATTGCTTCTCAAAATCGTGTGTCAAACTACTGCCTTGTGGCTCAAGTCACCATCCCTGTGAGTTACCAGACCGAAATACACTTCTGTGGTCACCACTCTCTTAAATCATAGGACCTTAGAGGTCAAGCTTAACCCCATCATTTTATAGATGAAAAAACAACTGATGACCAAAGTGATTAAGTGACTTACCCAGGGTCACACAGCTAGAAAGTATCTGAAGAAATGGCACTAGGGAATATGAAAATAAATAGGAATGCTGAAGACAAATTTCAGTTACCATTTTGCCAAGGACAAGTCCTACCAATAAGCAGGCATCTCTGGAAAGTAATACATGACTAGGTGCGTGAGAACTAGCAGATCCAATAATATCTTTCCTCCAATTTTTTCTTGTATTTAGTTTTTGTCTTTTAATTTCTGCAGATAAAAACTAAAATCAATCTATAGAAAAAATTTTACTTCACTAAAATATGATTGCTGATGTTATTAATATTGCTATTTAATTATTCTTTCTTTTCAAAAAAGAAGAGAAAATGAAGAACAGTAAGAGCAGCTATAGAATATAGGTGTGGGTAGCATTTTTTTGTAAACAATTCTTAAATGAACTCTCAATATCAATTTCTCAAGTAAGCAAAAAAAAGCTAAAAGAGAGTAGTCTTTCGAAAATTATTTTAAAAATAAAGTTTAGGGGTGAATATAGAAATGCTTACTTTGCTCTTCAAAAATATTCAAAGGCAGTGAGATCCAATAATCATGTTCCTCTACTGTAAAATGAGGATAATAATAGTACCTACCTCACAGGGTTGCTGTGAGGATCAAATGAGATAATATTTGTAAAAAGTATTTAGCATAGTGCATGGCATATAGTAGATACTACATAAATGCTTATTCCCTTCCCTTTCTAGATGTTTAGGTTCATTTTAATATGAATCAGATATGAAGGTGGAGCATTGAGAAAGGGGTGGGAACTGGCCTTGAGATTAGAATTGTGGTGAGGAGACATCACAAAAGTCAAGATTTAACTCATAATTTTCTCTTTGATAGCAGAGAAATAGGTTTAAATGTTATAGTTGGTGTGAATTAAATTCAAATATCTATTCTTATTCTAAACAAACCTTAAGAAATTGTTAATGGATCATAAAACTGGCTTCAAAAAAAGTGACAAACTAAATTCTTTCCCCTCTGCCCATAAAAAGAAAAACCCTCTATAAAAGCCTCTGTATATGTATATATATTTTTTCTAAATAACCAACTTCCAGTCTAAGAATCACTTGGTTCCAAGTCACAAGGTATAATTTAGATCTCTCTTTAGAAAGAGAGAAGCTATGAAAATAAATAGTCAAATCTGAATTGTTTCTATTCTGAAAATGCAATTTATTTCTAAAAGATGTGGGAATATTATGCTTTTGCTGTAGGTATGGTAGGTTTGTTTTTTTTTTTTTTTTTGGCAGAAATGCTGGAGGTTTTTACGTTTTAACAAATGATCCAATATATCTACGCAGATCATCATTGAAGTCTTTGAGTTTTTTTTTGTGAATCCTAGATAAGCATTTGCCAGTGCTGAGACAGCCTTTGGGCATCTCTGTTCTGAATGGAAGGATCATAAATCCAAGGTTCCTCAAAACTGAGGAGGTCAAAAGGCTCCAAGAACCAAGGTAACTTTTGGTCACTATAATCATAAAGGTCTTTCTTTATGGTGTCATTATAGAAACAACCAATATGATACATCAGGTCTCCTCTGCTAAGCAAAGGAATCAATGTAAGCACATTCAGCACAAGGACTATATTGTTTTCTGTTTCTACATTCTCAGTGCCTTGCACATAATGGGTGCCAAAAGGTATTTGCTGAGTTGAATTGAACTGAACTTAGTCAATAAAACTGACTGGTTTGACTAAAATTCAGTCAGATAATCCTTGAAGCCATTATGCAGTCAAGTATTTAGGTCAATCTGATGCCAAAAAAAAAAAAAAAAAAGGATTTAAAAAGTACAAGGCAACATGTCTAGGGTATTGGGGGGAGGGGTACAAAAAAAAAGTCAGTTACTGCCCTGAAAGAGCTTACATTCTACTGGGTCCAGTTCAATATATATGGAGGAAGAGAAAATGGTTGTTTTCTCTGAAGGCAGAATATTTTCAGAAACATTTCTATAGGAGTCTTGTAGAAGTACTCAAGTAGTTCTATGTCCTAATACTTTTGTCTCAATTTTTACATTAATAACAAGCCCTTCAAAGTCATTGATTCATAGGCAATACTTTGGCTCCATGTGCATTGATGTAGGTGAGAAGAATCTTGGCCCTCTGTTCTATCACATCAATAAGTTTTTCAATTCCTTGTCGACCTCCTTGGCTTTCCCAATAAACTTTATCAAGAAACAAGGACTGAAGGAGTTTCTCCCTTAAGTGCTGACTCTTCAGAACTGAAACTGCAGATTCAGGAAACCTGAAAAGACAAAATGGATTATAATCTAACCAATAGTTCTGGCCATCATTGATCCACCATAAATCATAGTACCTAATTATCTCTTTAAAAAACAAACCATTTAACTCACTGTCACACTACTGGTATGTCTTTTAACAATGACATATTAGAAAAATGTCATCCAATTTAACAGAGTTTTCAATATCACTCCCATCTTAATATCTGGGGATACATCCATATCGGCAAAGTGAAGAGCAGAATAAAGAGTCATTAAAGTTTCTATTGGGTGGCTTGAATACATTTCTTTAATCATCTATTTTGCTTTATCTATGGTGATAATTTTCAATTATCAGGAGAGATGAGTGTATAGGCAATCAGTTAAAAGTAGGGCAGGGTGTTTAACAAGAACTATATTAACAATTTCGGCAAAAGTATTTTTCATGGATAGTAGGTAAAGAACTAACGTGGGGGGGCTCTCTACAACTTCTTCCAATCTAAATCGAATGGGCTGAGAATGGCAGTTTGTTTGCTAGAAGCCTTGAAGCATCTGTCTAGACACCCTATGTGTGGAGAGGCAGGTAACTTCGTCCTCTTGAAAGAAGACATAAAAAAGGGGTCATTTGAGAGATCTGGGAATGGGAGGAGCAAGGTGTTAAATGCGGAGGTATGTACTTACAGGCTGCTTTGAACTCCCAGGAGAAATTTATTATGTAAATGAGTGGCTATATTGTTAAATAAAAATTTCATGCAATGAAGTATTAAAAATCCATGATTTGCAAAGTCTATAGATGTTCAACTAATTGAATTGTAGCAGGAAAGTAAACATTTGAGAAGAAACTATTAAAATGAGAGAAAGGAGAGAGGAAGTTAGCCTAAAAACATATCCAATCTTCCCAAAGAGAGGAAAAATGTTTTCTAAAAACAAAATTGTATGCATTTCTTAATTCTTCAAAACAAACTGATTAATGAATCTATTCCATACTTAAATCTTGAATTAATTACCTTTTCATTTTGCTTTTCAGTGTACAAGTTTTACATATATATATATAATATGTATGTATGTATGTGTGTGTATATATATATTACATGTATATATGATATATATATTTTTAAGTTTCCATTTTAAACTCATTCCTCACATATTAAAGTCTAGTTCTAGTAAAAGAGACAGCTAAACTCAAGATGGATGTTTTGTTTGTTTTTTTGTTTGTTTGTTTGTTTGTTTTTGCTAGACGATGGGATTAAGTGACTTGCCAAGGGTCACACAGCTAGTAAGTGTTATATATCTGAGACAGCATTTGAACTCAGGTCCTCCTGAATCCAGGGCCAGTACTCTATCCACAAGATGGATGGTTCTTCATGATGTCTTCTGGTGACTATTATTTCTAGGGAGCTAGAACTTAAGGAGGCATTTAAAGTGACCTATTTATTATGTAATATCCTTTCTAATGGGCATATGCACTAAATGACAATCTGGGTACCTGAATCTTCCTTCCTACAAAAGATACACAAAGGAAGAAAACCACTACATGCCAAACCTTCAGCTTCAGTGTGTGTGTGTGAGTTTGTGTGTGTGTGTGTGTGTGTGTATAACAAGATCAATGGTAGTTTTAGGTGGTAGCAGCAGTGTCCGGGAGCTAGCCAGACTTGCTCCCAAGAGTTGATTGTTAAATGTTCATAATGAATATTTACACCTTGGAAATTAACAAATATTCAAATAAGGGCCTGATTTATTATTTTGTTGGTTATCTAGACTTAAGAAAATGATAGAAAGTATATTAATAATGATTAAATTTTTAAAAACATCATGTATAAATTTTTTTTTCCCAAAGACCTTATCATTAAACATTTACCAGCACATCCCTGGATAACGATTTTAGTAGCTTCTTTAATAATTCAAAATCTATAATTGTGTCACTGGGAGTACTCCTTCCACCAACATAGATTGCAACTACTCTGTAACTTAGTAGATAGTCTTCAAGAGGTGTTAGAACCAAACAATTCATTATCCCATATCCATACTAGGAATGAGATTCTCCAAACTTAGCTGGGACTATCATCATACAATAGCAATGCCTTCTTTCAACAGGCCCACATTTTGTAGACTCTACATGGTCTAAAAGATAAAGACTATAGATGACCAGAAAAGGTGATGGGCCCATAATATTGCTGGAGATTGAAACTCCACAACATCTCTCATATCTGATCACTTCTCTCTGCTCCCATAAATTGAGGCTCTCATCACCTGGACTACCATGATGGCCTCTGAATCGGTCTCCCTGCCCCAAGTCTTTCCCTATTACAAGTCTGTCCTCCATATAGCTGACAAAATGATGTTCCTTAAACACAGATCTAACCACATCACTCACTTAACTCAACAAATTCCAGTGATTCCCTATTGCCTATAGGATAGAATATAAGTTCCCTTATTTAGCTTTTAAAGCCTTTCACAGTCTGCCCTGCCCTACCTTTCCATTCTCATTATCCATTACTCTCTCTCCTTTACTCTATAGCCCAGCCAAACTGGTCTTTTATCTGCTCCTTACACGGCACTACAACCCCCACCTCAATGCCTTTGTATTTGAACTATCTCCAATCCGAGAATAGACTTCTTCCTCATCTACACTTCAAAGTAGCCCTCTTTTCTTTTCCTTCAAGACAAAGCTTAGGCACTACCTTCTATAGAAAGCCATCCCAGCAAGTGCTAGTGCCTCTGCTTTCTAATGTCTTGAATTTAACTACCTTGTATTTTATGCAAGGTATAAAAAATATAAGATATTTATTTTCTATTAATTCTGTACATCCATACTACCTATACTTATATATGTAAATGGCACCTTCCCAAACAGAATTTAGGATTCCTGAAAGTAGGAATTGCTTCATTCTTTATTTTTTAATCCCCAGTGCTTAAAGCATATTGCAATCACTTGATAAATGCTGACTTGCTTTGACTTTCAGGATGGGAAAGGGTGAAAGGGCTATCATTTGCATTGGTGGAAGGAGTACTGGTGCCAATGAAATCACCGACCTTTGAAAGTGACAATGTGTTAGGAGCCACGAGATGATAATGGGGATAATTCCTGTGTACCTAGGTTTTGCTCTACTTAGCATTACTTCCTTTAACTCCAGCTTCCTTCCCCAAGAGACACAAATTATATTTCTGTTAAAAGTAGGGCCTAAAGCCTAATTTCTCTCAGCCTTGCTACTTTTCAGCACTGAAAAGAGTATGAGCTCATTATCATTATAATCCAAAAACTTACTCTTTGATTCCTTCTAATAATTTGAAATTTAAATTATCTTCACTTCGGTCAAAGAAACCTTTATTGTCTATAAAGACCAAATGCCTTGGGTCATGCTTTCTTTGAACAATGTGTGTTAGCTCCATGGTATCTTGGTTGTCACATTTCTGCCTCACTCCCTTCTGACCACAGGCATCCTCCTTCCGAGGTCTGAATCCACAGCAGTTTACATCTAAGCGGTTGTAGATCTGAAAATACAAAGGTTGAAAAAACCAATAATAAGCCAGGCTGCTAAATGTCACCAACATTTATGAATACCAGGGGAGTTTTACAAGTGATCAAATCTATGCTTTATTAAGAAATGACTAACCAAGATCAAAGAGAATAAAATAATTTAATTAAAGTCAACTGTCAGTATAAATTCACAGTTTGGGACACCTTGATTTAACCATGACTAGCATGGCTTCAGTAGAAGTCATATGGTGTAGGTGATAGAAAGCTGGATTTGGAGTCAGGTGAATCCAGAGTTTAAAAACCAACTCTGACCTTAGGCAAAACATTTAACCTCTATGAGCCTTGCTTTCCTCACCTATACAATTGGGATAGTAATATCAATAGAGTTGTTTTGAGGCTCCAATGAAATAACATGTGTAAAATATTTTTTGAATTTTAAAAGCCTTCTATTAGTATTAACTAGCTTCAGCTTAACCTAATATTAACAAGGCCAGATCAGTCCAAGCAACTTGGCATCTCTAGCCTTTACATATAAAATCCCCATTGATATAACACATAGATAAGTGACCAGAAAAATTCCTTGCTTTATTTCTGGTACCAAAGGAACTGCAGCTCCTAAAGCATAAAAATTTCAGTATAATTAAAACTTAATAGATAGCAGTATCACAATGAATAAAACATACAACTTGGAACCAAAAAAGCCCAGATTCAAATTCTGCCCCTGATATTTGATGGTCTTGAGACCATGGGCAAATAAGTCACCTAACTTCTCCTCATCAGTAAAAAGGGCAGGAGAGGAAAGAGAAAGACATTAATAATAATACCTGCAATACCCAGTTCATAAAATTGTTTTGAAGTTCAAATGAGATAATGTCTATAAAGCATTCTGCAAACTTTAAAGCCTTCTATAGATGTTATCAATTTTAATGATGATACTCAAACTTAGATCCCTCCCAAAGACCAAGTGCAATCTACACATTTTCTCTTTCCTTGGGGAGGAAACACATGAAGAAGACAAACAGCATCTTCCAAGCCCAGGAGTGTTCTCCCCACCTGTGGTCCAAACCACATATAAACTATATTACTAGTATGACAGAACTGTAGATTCAGAGCTGGAAGGAACCTTAGAGATCACCTAGTCCAATGCTTTTATTTTACAGATATGCCACATCTAGGGTCACATCGTCAGTTATGTTCTGGGCACTGCGCTAAGCAGCAGTGACATAAAGAAAGGCAAAAACATTCCTTGTTCTTAATGAGCTTATAATCTAATCACAGAGACACACGTGACCCACACAGGTAAGAATGTGGATTTAAATAGACATCTTTTGATTTTAAATCCAACACTCCCTTTCCACTGTACCATACTGCCCTCCTACTACTGCCAGCTTAAATTTGAAGAGTCCATAACTTTGTATGGAGAGGAAGGAGAACAGAGAACTAGACTATGTTCTGGGCATAGTCAAGGCATAGGTCTGAGTTTCAAGTCCCATTCACATGTGTCATTACACATTGCATCAAGACCAAAAATATTAGAACCACTTAAATAAGTTCATGGTCACTCAAAAATCCACACAGGAAAAACCTAATGGATGAAGAATGTTTATTATCTAGATTGTGCTAGGCAAATGAAAAGATAGCCTATAGAAATTGTCCATCAGCCTATATATCTTAAAAGGGTACTGCAAATAAATTGGACCCAAAAGTGAACAAAAGGAGGGAAATTAATTGGATTATTTTCCGGAAGTTAAAAGTCTGGTTTTTTGGGGGGTTTTTTGGTTTGTTTTTAATGACACCATACTATCACTGAAATAAAGGTCTACTTTTTTTTTCCTGCCAACATTGTTCCAGAGTGGTAAAGGGGAGACATCAAGAACCTACTTAACTTACTTGGAAATATTATCTAAGACTGATCACCATCCTCCCACTTCTGTTGTCTCTCCTTCCTTGCCCCCACCATCCCACCATCCCTGCCACTGTCTCTTCTACCTAGAATAGGCAATGAAAGGATAAGTCAGTCATAGTGAGCTGGCTTTGTAATGATGCTTAATTAGGAATGATCCATGCACTAAAAACAGAAATGGTACATGGGAGGAATTTGATGCACTATATGGCTATTTACTTGCACACAGCTTAGAGCAAACTGCTGATGAAAGAAGCAGATGTTCCAAGTGTGTTGACCAGCAGTTATAAGAAGAGTCAGAAATGTCATACAAGGGTGGCATTAGTATGGTCAAAAGAACAGAGATACGCCTAAGTGGATAAATAGAAAGCCAGGGACCTGCCTTGAATGTGGGCAAGAGTTCAAGAATCTGTCCCCAAGTTGATAGAAAAGCAAGTCAGTTGCTACAAGGGTCATGATGATGGAACAATAGCTTGTCCAAAGGGTCTCATGTGCTAACCAACTGACACAAAGGTCATATCATATAGGCTCACTATCACTTTAAAGGGAATATTAGTCTAATGAGCATAATTGAGAAAATATTTTGATAACATTATTGAACTATTTCTATAAAACCAGGTTTTATTTGCATAAGTAATTTCTGGGTCATAACTGGGTAGAAAAGGAAACATAATCTAAACAACACAGTATCTGGAAGCCATTGCTGTAGTTCTGTTAAGTACAGGGAAAAAATGAATTCAGAAATTTGGGCCTCTTTCACTCTAATTCCTTCTCCCCACATAAGCATTAGCCAAGAAATATTATGGAGTCCCCATGCAATTTACCCATACTATTTTCTATACATTTCTAGATATAAATTCACTGATGTAGTACAGATGGTCAGACCTGTCTACAAGCCAACAACTGTATACTGTATATCTCTCAGTAGATTTTTATGCATTCTGAGTACAACATCCTACTGTGATGCCTCCCACCATACCCTGAACATTGGGCTTGCTGTATCAGTGTTGTTGACTAACAATTATCATTGGCTCATGAAAACACATTTGCATTTGGATTATTTTTCTCTGCACTACAATTGCTAACAAAGATGTGGCTATAAAGAGCTTCACTGGCATTAAATAACAATCACTCTATAGAATATGTCCCCTTTCTCAGTGAATGGGTATTTATTCTACCAATCTATTTTCAAACTGCATGAAATCAACTAAAATTGAGATGGAAATGATCTATTTGGGTTCTCTTTTCTATTCCCTTGACAGCAGTAGGTTGTTTCCTGTGGTGTATTTTTAAAGTGCTTTGTCCAATCTAGTTCTGAATGACTCAAAAGATGATGCTTTCTTCCACCATTCCCCTTGGCAGGCTGCTGCAGTTGGAGGCTATCAGACCTCACTATTAAGAAATTTTTTTTTGTATTAAGCCCAACTTTCCTTGTGCAAAATGTTACCCAATTAAATTTAATTATACCCATTCACATAACCAGTAGACAGAAAGAGCAAAGATTATTCCAAAATAACATTAAGTATATACACATGTATGTATGTAAACATACATATGTATATATGTCTACTGTTATATATTGTTTTTATAAGTGGTTATATATGTACATATGTATACTAGCAGTCACATATATGTACATACATGTGTACTTATAAAATCAGTAGATATATACATAAAGAGATTGCTATATATAAATATATTTATAGATATATAAATCTAGACAAAAGAGGCTTTAAAGTCCTTGTTTCAAGTCTTGCTGCTGATATTTATTAGTTGTGTGACTGATCAAAACATTATGTCTCAGTTCCCTGAGGCAATTCTCTAAAACCAAATGTTACAAATTAGTGACCCATTTGCAATGGTGGAGAGAAATTCTATACTGAGTATATTCTACACCAATAAAATCACAGGTCAGACACCCACTGACTCACACTGCCCAAAAAAGATAGCTATTTATACATATTTGGGGTAATCCCTGCTCTTTTTTATTATACTCTTCAAGAAATGATAAATAAAGCCTCCTCCGTGCCATTGCCATCATCTAGGCAATTAATAACCAGTGCATCTAGTCCCTCTCTACAATTAATTTTCTTTAGACTTCGCAAGATTTTTTTTTCTCCCAGCTCTTCTGGGAAATCCATCTAGATCTTTCTATTGCCATTCATAGTCAGACTAAAAATAATCCACCCTCAACCCTCTAATCCACTCATTAAAGTTTAGTGCCTCTCTGGCTGCCAGTTAGTGGAGGAACATTCTGTAGAAACTTTTGCTTATTTTTTTAAGGGCGAGCACAGCTTTGTAAGCTCAAATAGGGCAACTCTCACTAATACGGAAGTAGACTGCTCATGTTGAAACACTCCCATTTTTGACTGGTGCATTCCTAAGCACTGTAGTTCATGTCTGCATTTCTGTTGTGGTGGTAGTTAGGTAGTCATGCCCAAAGGAAGTGGTGTTTAGGGAAAGTTTTAAATTATTTTTTTTTTAATGAAACAGCTTCAAACTGACTACCAAACTTCAGAAGAGATCATGATATAGCATGATGAAATTCCTGTCTTCTCATCTCTTACGTGAACAAAAAGATATGTTTTGCCCACTGTAACCTGCTATATTTATCCATTTCTCATCATTTAAGAAAATATGTGTTTTAAGCATTTTGCTAACTAAAATTACCTCAAGAATTCAGGTGTTTCTGCCAAATTTTCTGTTCATGGGGATATTTTTAGACAGATTTACTTCTACCAAGGTATTTTTTTCCCCCTCTTTCCTTTTTGGTACCATTACTTTCACGGCTCAGCGAGAAAACTTTCCCAGTTGGTTATTTAAGTTAGGCCTACAGAATAAAAATAGAATGGCCCAAACTTCATTCTGTCATTTGAAAAGCTCCACAAATATCTGAGATAGACCACCTTATGTTCTAGCCCTAAGAGCTATTGCTCACATACACCCTGTTCCTTCCTTGGGTGCCTGTTACACATTAAACCATGATTGTATCTACCCAAGACAATTCTAGCCAAATGATTATGTTATTTATAGTCTATCTCATTTTGTAGCAAAAATATTATCAAACACTGCTTTCTTCATAGCCAAACCCATTCTGACTAGGTCACATAT